CACCCTCCACCATTCATGAGCCACACTTCTGAAATGAACAAAGCCGAGCCAGACACACTCCTTCAATAAAACACCTACAACAGTCTGCTCAGGATCCAACCAGCAGCCTGCACACCTCCACCGGATTAATGCACGAGGACACAACACCACCGGGTTTTCAAACTCTCACGCAGCAGCACAACTAAAGTTTATCTCTTCGCTGAAATTAATTTCTGCTGCGTGTATTAAATCTGCTTCCAGACCTCAGAATCACAGCATCAGATTCGGCAGTGTCAGTTCAGAATTAAACTTCTTACTGGAGTCTACACAATGTCCGACTGCAGCATATCAGCAGAAAAGAGATAATTCACCCCTACAGTTCGTAAGTCGTGGGCGTATTTAAATTGAATGTGAGCGATCAAAGCAGTGGTGTCATAAAGGATGTAGAAGTCTACAAACTGACACGGTGAATGTAGACATCTTCTTTTTCTAAGACTCAAGGATTGCAAACTTTTAGTGAAAAGCTTCACAGAGGCAGCAGAGTGAAAGTCGTACTGTAACAGAGCTGTACATTACATCTGGCTTTCTCCTCTCCTCTGCACGCTTCTGTGGCAACTAAGCCTGTTGCTTAGCAACCTCTTAATCAATACTTGGTCCTTGCCGGAACAAAGCAGAACAACGAGAGGGGAAATAATGGAGGAACATTTAGCTAGCAGCCGTACAGTACAAAAGACATGTCAGACAGCCTTCGTGTACATATCAATCAGCAACGGTAACCATTAGCGACTGCTCGCTGTTGTTCAACTCGTTGAATACAGCAGAGTTGGAGGAATTAATTACACACAGTCAGAGATATGTGGATTATATTGACTAGATGAATTACATATTTTCTTACAGATGACTGAGCTGACAGAGCCCAATTTTAGGTGTAACTTTTTGTGATCACTGCCATGTTTATTAAATATATGATTTTGTGATTTAAGACAATACTACAATCTTTATGAGTTTAGTGTTTTAAGTAATAAAACAATTACGGAAACACCCTCTGGTGGAAATCAACTTTTTCCGTTTGTGCCTTTTATATAAGACATATTTTGCATTAAATAAGCAGTAAGGCTGAGTATACAAAAAATAATTAAATTATGTTGTAGTAGTGCTGTTACAGACATAGTAGCAGTCATAATGTTAGTAGTGAACAGTAGTAGAGCAATAGTCCTGATCCAGGTCTAAAAAGATATCGACTTAACACTGTAACCCTGTATGGACACTATATTTTTATCATGTGGAT